TCACATAAAGCTCAAACATGAAGATTAGTCAGTATATGTTCTCACAGATATTAAACCAAATTGAAAGGATGTTACCCAAGATTTCACATTCATCTGATAATTGGGAAAATGGAAGAAACCTTAGAATCCATATGATTTCGGGTCAGAGAACATTGCTGGATTTAGTATGGTATCTGGCGTGATGTTTGCAGTCTGATAACTTTTAAATCAGGCGTTTCCTTCTGGTAGTAAATAAATGCCCAGTCCATTTCTGCTCTGATATAGACTCAGGGGGAAAAAGGGGAATTAGATATCAATCAAGTGTTCCATTGATTGAGGATGCTGCTGCAGATGCTCACAAGGGGCTTTTGAGCCACATTTACTACCAAGATGATCTGCATGTGAGTGACTCCTTTTTATCCAAGAGATATCAGCTTAACCACTATAAATTTGTCCAGCTGACATAAAGAGATAGAAAACTGACTGAGGCCTTAGCACCAATTTCTGAGGTTCATTTAAGCCTAATACAGTTAATGTATATATTACTCTGGGCAAGAACCTACTTCCTTTTTGATGAAAGTGTGGATTTTCAGCTTCTTTGTTTAGAGTACATCCTCTGTAAGTATCAGCACCACTTATCATAGATCTGATGCTGCAGTGTTTAGTTTTGTTGTTGTCTGCTCAATTTCCTAGCAGCTGACTGCTGTTCTCTGATGCCTTTGAGCCTTCTGGATGCCTGTACCCTGTCCTAGAGCAGAGTTCCTCAAAGCGTAGTCCCTGGACCAGCAGCAGCGTTACCCAATATGTTGCTGTAAATGCAAATTCTTGGGGCTTCTGGATGGCATGGTCAGTTAGGCATCTGACCCTTGGTTTCAGCTTAGGTCATGATCTTGGGGTTATGAGTTTGAACCCCAGGTAGTGCTCCACACTCAGAGTGGAGCCTGCTTAAGAATCTCTCTCCCTCCCTGCCCCTCCTGCTCATTCTCTCTCTCTCTCTCTCTCTCTCTCTCTCTCTGCTTGTCAAATCAATAAGTAAATCTCTAAAAAATGCAAATGCTCAGGACTTACTCTAGAACTATTGAGTGGAACACTCTGGAAGTAGGGCTCAATAATCTGTATTTTTTTTAAATATTTTACTTATGTATATGACAGAGAGAGTATGTGTGTGAGAGAGCACAAGCAGGGGCATCAGCAGGCAGAGGGAGAGGGAGAAGCTGACTCCCCACTAAACAAGGAGCCCAATGTGGGGCTCAATCCCAGGACCCTAGGATCATGAGCTAAGCTGAAGGCAGACACTTAACTGACTGAGCCACGCAGGCGCCCCATATCAATCTATATTTTAGCAAGCTGTCCAAATTGTTGTCATTCATGCTCAAGTCTGAAAACGACTTTTTCAGAGGAGTTCACAAGGACTCTAAGATCTTCCCTTGGGTTACACTGAGAAAGTACAGTTCAAGGCTATTCCAAAGGAAACTTGTTAAATGCTGACCCCATAGCTCCTAGTAATTCCTTAAGGAGTTTAGGCAGCATGGAGTGTTATCTCCAAAGCCATTTCTCCTAGAAGATAGCCCAGGTCTTGAGAAAATCCCCACACTGGCTGTAAGATATAAGTCATGTGATATGCAAATGAAAGATTATTCATTTATTTAATCAACAGATCTGTTTGAGCATCTACTAAGCCCTGATGAGATATCTGAGTCAAGGATATTGTAGTCAAAGAAAAAAAAGATATGAGCACAATAATATTGTACATGGGAAAAAAAGATCACCTCCAAGTCAAAGATATCAGACTCACATTCAAAAGAAATCAACGATAGATCTAGTTGCTGGTGTTTTGACAATGAGTAACCATAAAGACTTTCCGAGATTCCATAAGCAGTGGTGATATTTGGGAAGATAAATTTTACAACTCTATGTGGAATGGCCCACAAGGAGAAAGAAACAGAGAGGAAGACCTACTAAAATAGAATTATAACAGCTAAGAAATGAGTAGGGCCTGACCCAGGATGGAAGTAGAATCCAAAGGACTTTTACCAATGAATGCTATAAGGTTATTAGTAATTAAAAAGGATAGGTGGAACATACGTCTGACATTTGGAGACTAAACAAGTGAGATTGTCCTGTTATCAAAGTGGAATAAAAGGTGAAGAACAGAGCTTGAGATGGGAAGCTTGTTTTGTTGTGAGCATGTTAAATGTGAGGTACACACTGAGCATCCAAATTAAAGGGTCCAGGTAGGATTAGGGTATGGTTGGTAGTTTACGAGAAAAAAAACAGGACTGCACATCTAAATTAGGAAGTTAGCTACATAGAAGTGATTATTGATGTCATAGGAGGAGAGGAGATGTTTAAGGGAAAGTGGGCTGAGAGAGAAATGAAGCAGGTCACAGAAAACATTGAGAGATAACAGCATTTCTGAGATATAAGAGAGATGTCCATGGAAGAGACAGGGACCCAGCATCATGTAAGCAATAGTGATATCAAGCTGGAATTTACCAGTATCAGTACCGTATCAGTGTTCACATCTTTTCTGAGTCATAAGTTCTCTGTTCCTATTGGTGTTCATATTGATCTGCTTTTCAAATATTTTTCACCTTAGAAAAGACAAAGGGCTAAGAATGAGGATCTAGTCATTACACTTCCCAGATCTGGGCAAACTTCAGTATGTTATATGGTATTTTGTAGCAAACTGGAAGGAAACAACCTTCAAGAAAGAAAATAGTATATGGGAGAAATCAGTCTATAATTCACAGTCTGGTTCAAGGAGTCCTCCCTTTGGCCCATGACCCCTGTACGACTCTTAGCAACATGTTTGTCCTCTAGAAATAAACTGTTGACTGACCTGCACCTACTAGATTGGAAGTTACTGACTGGGATTGTAAAGGAAGTCTTCTATCTCATAGATATGACATGTGAATATCTATTGAATGGACATTTTAATTAAATGTTAACTGGTAGGGTGCTTGGGTGGCTCAGTCAATGAAGCATCTGCCTTCAGCTCAGGCCATGATCCCGGGATCCTAGGATTGAGCCCTACGTTAAGCTCCCCGCTCAGCAGGAGAGTCTGCTTCTCCCTCTGCTCCTCCCTCTGCTTGTGCTCACTCTCTCTTTCTCAAATAAATAAATAAAACCTTTTTAAAAATAAGTAAATAAATTTTAATGTGTATTACACACTAGCTTTATTATGTACTATTTTCTATTATTTCTTACTCAACTAAAGTGTTTACATCAACAAAATGGTGCCACTATAGACTGCTGGCATATGTGAATGACCTGATGTAGCAAATGTAATCATCATTTTTTGGTGAAAATTGAATTTTATTTATAATATGTACTATTTCCTGATTGAAGAATAAAGAAAATACCAAATATCAGAGTATGGCATGTTTGGGATGATTGCTATTTTTCTAAACCTTCTTTTTTTTAAAGATTTTATTTATTTATCCATGAGAGACACAGAGAGAGAGGCAGAGACAGGCAGAGGGAGAAGCAGGCTCAATGCAGAACTCGATCCCAAGACCCCAGGATAACACCCTGAGCTGAAGGCAGATGCTCAACTGCTGAGCCACCCAGGCGCTCCTAAACGTTTTTTTAACCTAAAGCCTGGTTGTTGTTGTTGTTGTTGTTGTTTAATCTTCTATACCTAAAAGTTTTCTTTCAGACATCCTATAGTGGAGGTGTTAGTTTCTTATATACCTGTGTTAAAATCAGATGCAGTGAATAGTTCCGAGTTTGCCCTAATAAGTTGTAATTATAGGATAACTTCAAGATGGCTCAGGACTATCAGACCATTGAAATGAACACACCCATATGGATCTCTGAAAGTGAGCTATAGTCCCTGAAGTCAAAAAGAGTGCCCCAAAGCCACCCAGAGCAATAGTTAAGGATGTCCCTCTGTCTTTGATGTTTTATAACCCCAAAGTTTTAAGTATTCTGTGCCAAATACAAAGCTCATTTCATCCTGAAATTTAGGGCTGTTTCAGTTCAACTTGATGTGATAATTGAGTAATACACTGATAATCATCAGGGAAGTACAAAAGAGCACTAAGGATATTGGTATTTGGTAAACTCAGTATATTGGTAGTATTTAGATTTGAGGTGAGTTATGAATACTGATATCACATTCTGAAAATGCCTCAGATGAATGAGAGACTATCCAGAATATAAATGACTTATTTTAATTAGAAACAACAAATATGAAATTTGGGATGTTTAATGTTAAAAAATTAAGATAAAGATAATGCATGATGCTAGTCAAATATTTTAAGATTTTCCATGTAAAAATGGGAAAGAATAATGAAAGAAACAGATTTTAGAGCTAAGTTTCATTCCTTTATATTGTAATTTTTTATTCTCCTGGTCGAACTGGTAAACATGGTAAAAATATTTGGCAGTATTTTACATGTGAGATAAATGGAGATCAGCAAAACAATATGGTGTTCTAAAATAATTAATTCAATGAAATAATATTCTTAGTCCCCAAATCCAAGAACTGGCTCTCAGTGGAAAAGTAATTATTCCATGCTTGATTGTATTTTCTCCCTAACAGAAAATCAGTACAGTGCCCACAATCAAAATATCATTCCTCCATGGGCAAGCCAAGTGTAGTTTTCTTTTTTATCAACAGAGTAAAATGACTAAACGCAGGATTAGTTGAATGTACAATCATTTAGAGTAAGAACATACTATCAAACCAAGTGCCTTTTATAAGCAATCAAGAATCTCCATGACCTGTGCGTCAAAAATGTTGGAAGATCATTTCATCGCCCTTTTTGTTAATTTTCTTACTACTGTATTCACAACAACAACAAATAAAAATGTGACCCTTTATACCTCCACATTAGTTCCACAATATTTGGCATCATTTGAATTCCTATTGAAAATTAATAAAGGCTTCTTTCTTTGGTCTCCCCAAAGTAGGGCATTTAGAGATGTTTTTGAAAAGAGTTGAATGTTTTCATGTCCTAATATTTTCTTTGGAGAGTAGTGACTTCAACTTCACTTTGTAATGTTTTTGACAGACAATAAAGATTATGATGCATACTTATCATACACCAAAGTGGATCCTGACCAGTGGAATCAAGAGACTGGGGAAGAAGAACGCTTTGCTCTTGAAATCCTACCTGACATGCTTGAAAAGCACTATGGATATAAGTTGTTTATACCAGATAGAGATTTAATTCCAACTGGAAGTAAGTTAATGTTTTCATTTAAGAGTGTGCATATTCTTTGTCTGTGTGTCATCATTTTTTAAGGCAGAATTTTAACTTGCGGTTCTCTACATCCATCAAACATTGTATTTATCAGTGGCTCAAGAAAGAAATGTCATTATGTGTTTATATGAAACTTAATTTTTGAACCCCTGAGAAGCTAGTTCCATTATTCTATAAAGCATCTCCTTCTATGAGTCTTGACATTTGAAAAAACAAGCGCGAGATTTGTACCTAGGAAAAATATTTCTAATATTGAGAAAAGCAAGAGCCCATACTCTATTCACTGTGGTCATTGGTTATTTTCATCTTCTGAGGTATAACCCAGCAAGCAACAATTCTCACGTAACGTGTGAAAGAGAAGCTACTGGGGCTTTCTGGACCAGATGTTTGATCCAGTCATTCTGATCAACTCTTTTCTCTTTTGTAGCATACATTGAAGATGTGGCAAGGTGTGTAGATCAAAGCAAGAGGCTGATTATTGTCATGACCCCAAATTATGTAGTCAGAAGGGGCTGGAGCATCTTTGAGCTGGAGACCAGACTTCGAAACATGCTTGTAACTGGAGAAATTAAAGTGATACTGATCGAATGCAGTGAACTACGAGGAATTATGAACTACCAGGAGGTGGAAGCCCTCAAGCACACCATCAAGCTCCTGACGGTTATTAAGTGGCATGGACCAAAATGCAACAAGTTGAACTCTAAGTTCTGGAAACGTTTACAATATGAAATGCCTTTTAAGAGGATAGAACCCATTACACACGAGCAGGCTTTAGATGTTAGTGAGCAGGGGCCTTTTGGGGAGCTGCAGACTGTCTCGGCCATTTCCATGGCCGCGGCCACCTCCACAGCTCTAGCCACTGCCCATCCAGATCTCCGTTCCACCTTTCACAACACGTACCATTCACAAATGCGTCAGAAACACTACTACCGAAGCTACGAGTACGACGTACCTCCTACCGGCACCCTGCCTCTTACCTCCATAGGAAATCAGCATACCTATTGTAACATCCCTATGACACTCATCAACGGGCAGCGGCCACAGACAAAATCGAGCAGGGAGCAGAATCCAGATGAGGCCCACACAAACAGTGCCATCCTGCCGCTGTTGCCAAGGGAGACCAGTATATCCAGTGTGATTTGGTGACAGAAAAGCAAGGGACAACCTGTCCCTGGGAGCTTGAGTGGAGTCTGCAGTCCAGTGCCTGGAACTAAATCCTCGACTGCTGCTGTTAAAAACATGCATTACAATCTCTAGAACACGAGGAAAAACAGGGTCTTGTACATATGTTTTTGGCAATTTCTTTGTAGCATCAGTGTCTTCCTGTTTTACCATGTCTCTTACCATTACATTTTTTGACTTTGTTTTATATGTCATTGGAATTTGTAAATTTACATTTTTTTAAAGAAGAGACTTATGTGTAGATAGAAAACCCTTTTTTGCTTCATTAGTTTAGTTTTAGAATGGGTTTTATTTTCTTTTCTTGATTTTGTTTTGCTTTTAACATTTCCTTGGGGTGCTTGGACAAATCTATCCGATGGGACAAGGAGCACCGGATCCTCTCTTGGGTTCTGCCTAGGATCAGCAGGGCCATGTGGGCCTTCAGAGAGCAGTGCAACGAATGCCAGCATTGCCATTTGGGAAAAAAAAAAAAAAGATGAGAAGAACACTTGTTCATAGGAGGGCCCCGCCAATCAGAGCCCTGAATCTCTTCCTTGTCCCACCTCATTCCCCACCTCTACCCTTCTAATGGCGGCATGATGTGTAAACTCTGAGGAGGGGTGGGGGTGGGTCTAACTGTCTTAACATTTAATTCACTGCTCGTCAGAATACACTCCAGACCCAGAAGTGTGCTAGTCACTTGACAGTGACCACTACAGAGTGCTAAGAAGAGAAGATCAAGGGCATGAAAATGGGGAGAGAGTGTTGTTTCTGTTTTTTAAATGAGTTGATGTACCCTTATATAAATATATATATATATATAAAACACACACACACACAACAAAAGAAACAAAAAACAAAAAAACAAAAACAAAAAAAAAAACAAAAACAAAAAAAACAAAAAAAAAATCAAGCCCTATATTTGATCACTTCCTGGAAAGGCATGAATGTGTTTGTGGCTGTTTTTGTTTAATATTCTACTTCCTCTTTTTCCCTCTATAATTTTTCTGCAAATGAGATTATGTGCAAATGCCAGGCAAGTTAACTCAAAAGGGTGAATCAACACAAGTCGAAATGAAATTTACATTGAAGGCTTCCAAACCAAAGGGAAGGACAGGATGTGTCATCAAATATGTTTGTCACCTTGTATTATACGAAATGTTATTTTCTAAAGAGTCAGAACAAATCTGTGAAACTTATTATGGGATCCCCTTGTATTTAAATGTTAATTCACTGTATTTAATTTTCAACGCTACATTCAGAATCAAGTGTTCGGTTTCAGTTTGTGAACATAAGCAACACTTATTAACATCGAAGTGTTTATATAAGAACTCAGGAGGTCAAACATGAGTACCAACAGAAATCAGTATTTTCAAAATAAACATTATTTACACAAGATAGTTTTTAAATTAGATGAGAAAGTGTTTAAAATAATTTTACTGTATAAATAATTCGTTTTATTTTAACTGTGTAATTCTATCTTTCAGAAACAGAAAGCTGATGCTCCCAGGAAATTCATCCCTTACCATTTAGCTTTATGTTTGAAATCAATGGCATAAGCAGCTAATACATATTCATGTTGAAGATGATGCAAAATCAGTCATCAAGGAACTTGCAGAGGGTGGAATTGTTAAAGGGAAATATTACTTACGTAGCTTTTAGTTAAAAAAAAATCAATGTGATGAAAACACTGATATAGAACTTATACATTCCTGTAGTGATTCCTTGTAGGAACTTCCATGCCAGTCATCGCCTGTGGGCTTGTGTCGTGACTGTTGTATGTTCAGTTTATTCCTACCACCATATAACGAGAAAACAATTCTACAGTTTGGGTCACAATACTAAAGGTGTGAGTTGGCCACACACACACAAAAAAGTGCAAACTTCAAAAGAGTTCATTTGGGAGGGTAAGATTGAATTGCAAATGTACGAGATGAACATAAGAATTTTGCAACAATGCAAAGGTCTTGGTATTTGTGTGACAAAGTAAAGGATCCTTGGGATGTGCAGTGATTTTTATTTGCTTAAAAACTGTTTATTTCCATGACAAGTCACCTGGGGTCCTTCTCTACAATCTGTTCTTTATTCCCATGCTCCCCTCGGACCTGTGTCACATTTTCACAAACCAGAACTGAAGCTGCAAGGACACATAAACTTTGTCAGCCTTGCACATTGGGTTATTTTCAGAATCCAAGAAGGCCATTGTTTACTTTGTACTATGGACACCTGTCAGGGACTGGTGGCAGTGAATCTCACTGGACTGGATTCCAGCCTCCCCCAGTGCTCAGAAAACTGTAAACATGGCAATGGCCTGATTTATTTCTTTGGTTTTTTTTTTTTTTCAATTTTTTTCAAGTGCACGATGGAAGTGTGTAGAGGAAGTAATCAGACCACAGTCATATTTTAGGCATCCATAGGTGTTAATTTAACTGCATTGGGAGTATATTTTTTGTTCTATTTTTAGTGTAGATTTAAGCACTTTGAATAGCATGATTCAGGGATTGATGGGTAATATTTGATATTCTCACAATTTAAGAAACTTTTTTTCCTCTAATGCTTTGTCATATTTTTTTTAAAAAAAGGAGAAAATAAATGGAATAGAAGCTATCTATGGCTTTAGAAACATTCCTCCCAAGTATTCCTCTATCAGCTCCATGTGAGAACAAATGAAGGAAACTGTCATGTGTTCACGTGCTCTATGTTTAACAAAAGTTATGTTAGAACTCACAATAAAAAGAGAAAAAATGTATTTTCCCTAGTGCTTAGGTTTTATCCTTCTCTTTTTTCGGTGGGGGCTGTGGGGGATAAGAATATTCTAGCTGTAGAAACACAGTTGAAAGTGTGAATATGTTAGCCCGGCTGAGGGGGAGAATGGGCTTCTAAACTTGGACATGTGTGATGTTGGCTATTGCCTGTTGTTCATCATTCACTGCTTGGGCTCCGAGTGACATGTTATGGATTCAAAGTCCATCTGGTTCTTTAATGTAACCTCTCCTTGCTGCCTATGAGCGTCATACCCTGTATACTGGTGCTCAAATCCTTGATTATTTAATTTGTAATCCATTCTTTAGGTTTCCTATGAGCAAGGAAGAAATTTGTATCTTATGCAGCCAGCTGATTTAAGTTTAGATCAATTCTGTGAATTAAATCTAAAACACAATGAGTTAAGAGACCTGAACCTATTATATTTCAATAGCTGAACACCTGATTGTTCAAGCCGTCAATCATTTTGTGTTTATTACTTTCTTCATAACCTATGTATTTGAACCCTATCAGCTTAATCTTAAATATCTAGACACTGGCTTCTTCCTTATTTCATTACTACTTAGCATTTTGTAACAAGAGCAAATATTAACTCAGAGCCAACCTCTGAACTCCAAGTGAGTTTTGTTTATCCTAGAATAGTCATTAACTTTGACAGATACCATGTATGTAAATTAAGATCACCATTTCTAGGAAAACATGAATTCATATATTTATAAATTATTCTTTGGTTCTTGAATGATACCCTAGTTCTCCTTTTTCCAAGAAGTATTTTTTTAATCTTCTGCTTCATTTCTTTCTTTTCTCTATTTAGTTTAAGTGTGTCATTAGTCTCAGAAGAAAGCTTAGTGAGATTCAAAGGAGAACATCGGTGTGCAAGTGACATGAATGAATGGAATAAGAGAATGCACAGGCACCGAACAGGGAAATCCCTTATTGTCTCTGATCTGAATGTGCTTGGTCATTATTCCCATCATTGTGTAGTTGATCAAGAGAGGTGATATATTATTAAATGTGTCAGAAATACCACCTACAGGCACATACTCCCTATCACTGAACACAGTTTTTAACAGTATATTACAGTTATTACAAAGACCTGATGATACAACGAACTTCCCTAAGAGGAAGCTTGTCAGTGGAAGCAGAGCTATTCTTCACCTTATCCTGAGCCCTTCCTACAGGACTGTCTGAGCAAAGAAAGCAGTTAACAGTCAAATTTTGATTATCCTTAAACTTGGGTTCCAGGACACTTTGAGTCTATATAAAAAGGACTGAAGGAAATAATGAAGTCCTTGAAATTCCAGACAAAAATGTGAATGTGAAAAAAACACTGTGAATGTGTGCAAAACCGTTTTCCTGGTTGTGAGTCTCAAAAACATCCATCACCTGAAAAGCTATTGATGTTTGGATTTACGTCATATTCTCAGAAGCTGACATTCACATAAAGCACATATCTTGCCAGCATTGTTAGGCCCATTATTCCTTACCGTCATTCATGAAAATTCAGGGAATGATTATCGTTCTTTTAGCAAACAGACGAAACTCCTCTAACAATATGACCGGACTTTGTGGGAGACTTGGTTTATAGTGAGGAAAAAATTGGGATGGCAAGTAATTTGGGCCCAGAGAAATGATAATTGGCTCTTAACAAACACTCTGCTAGTTTACTCATTTCTTAGTTTATGCAAGATAGTCTTGGAGGAATGTGAATGACGTATGGCTTGGCATGATGCCTTATTTCATGAAACTTCTTTATGACTGGGGTTTAATCATGTTTCCCACCAGAAAACTAAGAAGAAATAATCTGGTACAGGAGTAAAAGAAACAACCACTTGACATGTTTTTTCAGAAAGACTTCATTTTCTTGTGCCAAGATTTAGAATTGGTTATACACTTGATTTTCGGCAATTGTGCTTTTGCCAGTTTCAGGATTGATGACATGCCTTTGGAGTAGTGCGAAGAACTTTTAAGACATCAACTGAAGTGAGATTGTGGTTATTTAGTTTTATTTTTTACTCATGACTGGCAGCAAGGTGAAAGTTTGTGCTATGTTAATAATTAAGATGCTGTTACAAGGAACTATAAGGCCTGACTGAGTTTCCGTAAAGACAAGGATGACAATGACGAGTTCATCCCTGTCCTAATCTCAGGTCTTTTCATCCTTAAACTTCAGTCACATGCATAGAGAAGACCAAACTGAGAAGAAGGGACTCAGTTCTCAT